GTTTTCAAAAGTCTTGCATTTATTGGTTAGGTTTAAAGTTAAGAAAAAAATCCTCATTTATTCCGACATTTACAAGACAAAAAACATAAAATGCTTGCATTCTTAAATCAACAAATGCTGAATGAATTCTTTATTTCTGCAATAAAAATCTTTTTGGGGTGAGCATGAGTTTCATTGAAAAAGACCATCCCTACTGAAGGGGAGACAACTTAAGAAATTCTGCACGTAGATATATACACACAATTCCCATACATGCTTCAAGTCATTCAAACGTCTTGGGAAAAAACTTCCATCGAAACAAATGGCCCATTGAGGAAGAGAACAATATGCACTTTTCCACACTTTCAAAGATCATCTGTTTAGCATTTTTTTTCATAATTGTGTGAAATTGGGGTTAATCATCAAAAGTCTGTGAGGGGCATGTGTTAACAATCATTGGAAGTGCAGGCTTCTCAAAGACAATAGGATCTTTAATTCTTTTATCTTCTTTACTAGTTCTTATTTTGCTGAACTGAACATCCTTGCAGGTGTACTTCACCACTCCAAATAAATGAATACCGCAAACTAAGGGAAATAACTCTACACTTGTCTTTAAAATATACCTTTAAATAGTTTACTTTTTATGCATAGATCATTACAAAGTAAATAAACTTGCCTCAAGTCTTCATGATTTTCAACCCACAAAATAAAGGGAAATGATTAGTCTTCAAGTAAGAGGAAAATTGTCATTTATCCCTATTTAACTTAAGAAGGAAAATATAAAAAGATACAAGAACTTCTATGTTATACTTCTGGAGACCCCTCATACAAAGGTAATGAATTTTGATTGACAACAACAAAAGCTGGAGATGTGAAACAATTAGCAGGGCTGGAATGTTGTTGGAAGTACCCCCTGATGATACCCAACAGTTGCCGAAGCTGAAGGCAAAATAAACTTGTAAGCCTCTTTGTTTATTCTTACTGAAACAATAACCAACCCAGCTGCCTCAGGGTCTCATTATACAAACTTTCTCACAGTTCGTTATAATATGCACATTAGAAGTCATTAAAACATATGCAGTATTTTACAGATGCAATCAAAAGAGACTTTCTAAATACTTCTCTACAGTACATGTCAAAAGACGATTATCTTCCTCTTTTACATAATTCTCCTTTCATTTTTTTTTAAATAAGAAAATAAAATCCCAGAGCTTTAACTCGTTAAGGAGTATTAATAGTATTAATGCACTCTTCTGTAATAACAGTGTCTTGTTTTAAATTCTTACAATACTGATTTCAAAGTCATAAAAAGTAAATTATGATTGAATTTGTTCAGAATCTTACAACACAAAGACAACTATCCAGAATGTCGCAATAAAAAATCCAGCGGATTAATGCCTCATTCCTCTTTTATATCCTTTTATTTAGTGCTCAGAATTGAAGTAATTCTGTAAATTTCCCCTCAAAGTCTAGAAACCACAATAAACGTCGAATATTTCCGACACAATAGATCCATAAATGAATGGAAAAATGCAATAAAAAGCTAGATAATGATTGGATAAAAGGTTGTTGCAATAAAAGCAAAATTGAATTTACAATATTTAATGATGCTATTTGATTCAAAGACCAACTTTTGAATTTAATGTAGTTAAAGCACACAAGGCTTTTAGTTTCTTGAAAAGGAATGACATTTCTACATAGCAGGAGTGGGAACACAATACTTAAGCAACATCAACAATTAGTGGAATTGGTCTTTATGGGTGAATCACGATTTGTCTAAATTTATTTGGACAATTATACTGCAGTTTGTATATCCGGGAATTTTTTTAACACTGGAAACACAAACTGACTTTTAAGAGGCTTAAAAGTCCCCCCCAACAAAATAGGAAAAAACTTTCTCAATTTGTTTCCGAAGTAAGATACCAAAATTGACAATTATTGAAGGCAAGATTACTTTACTTTCTGAACTTAGGAAAGGTTTGTTTGGCTATTATGTTTTAAAATCCAATCACAGTTAATCCATGATGGATAAACTTCAGAATCTCCAGGATGTTTGAGACAAGCACAATAAAGCATTACACAATAAAGTGTAGAAAAGAACAAGAATGAGAAGGTGTGTCACCTGATAACAATGGTGTTGGTGAGCTCAGGTGAGACCCTTACCTTAGAGAGGCAAGATTGTGGACCACTGACAATTATTTTGTGTCTTAACAAAAGATATGCATTTTATTGATGGGATAACAATTGAACGTTCAAATAAAGCCTTAAACAATCCATAATGAAATTACACACAAAATCAATTACCTCCAAATCGTATCTATAAATATAGCACTTGATCTCCTCTCTACATAACAATGAGAGAGTTCGGCCACCAGCCGCGAGACTAACTCGCGTCAATCCCGTATTTAGCACTTGCACTGCAACACAATACTATAGTTCTTTAGTACACAATCGTTAATAAATCTATTCTCATCTATAAATGAAAATCAAATTTTGTTGTCATTGCAGACACAATGGCCAGTAATGAATTGTAAAAATACGGCTAGGGAGATGTTTTATGTGCGTACCTAAGCCATTTGTTGAAGCCTTTTTGGATTGGATTTGTAGGTTGGGATACACACCGCCAGACAAAATATTGTCATTTCAGATTTAACACGTTTATTTAAAGCTCTATTGTATGTTTATGTAGACCACAATAAAAGTTTATTCAATTTTCATTCTTGCACCTTTGCAAAGTGCTCTTGATAATGTGGACGTTGAGATTTATAGGGCCAGGGGCATACATCTGGTCGTTGTTCTCCACAGTTTGTCTTATTATTGTATCAACAAAATTGAAAGTACAAGACAAACAATAGAATGCCACGAGGATTTTTTTTTTTTATAAAGACCTGCAAATTCAAACAAAGGCAAGGAAGTAGAAAAATATCAGATTAAACAATGCTATCATCCCTACCCCGATAAATCCCCTCAATTCATCTTGTCCTATAAAGACAATACTAGTGTAGGGGAAATGACTACTTTATTTTAAAAGTAATCAGAAAACACTGCCTTAGATTCTATGGACCACAATGAGAAGGGATCAGGCCTGCTGAAAGATTTAATCCATTTGACAAGGATTTTCTGAATGAACTTATCTAAACATGAAAAATATAAGACAAGATTTGCCCAAAAATTTGATATAGGTATTATCTTTGACAGAACAGACCCATGGGGGTGTTACAAAGGGAAAGGATAACTGATATCAATTAAGCCTTGTCTGTTCTCCAAGACCCATTGTTTATAGAAAACTAGAGAGAAAAGGATTTTGTGATGAAGGATCAATCAATTATGATATGTGACTTAGTTTTGTTACAGTAATTCTTGCATGGGGAAATTCTGCTTAATCTTTTTTTTTAATTTTTGGTTTAAATAATACTTATAGAATTCTTGAAGTTTTATCCATTATATCAAACTAACAAACCCAAAAAAAAAAAAAAAAAAAAATAAAATAAAATAAAATATCCCATACATAAAGCTTTCTTATTTATATTCATTATCAATATAAAGATAACTTTTAGATTAATCTGAATCAGTATCTTGGGGACTAGAACTTTAACAAATTAAGATATATCAGTTTTAGCTTATCACTGGATGAAGAAAAGATTAAGATTTTATTGTTTAGACTTGAGGGATCATCAATAAGTGATGGAATTAGTCTGTCATGTTTAACAGTTTCTACTGCCCATTATACTCTATAATTATCACAAGTTCTCTGATGGTGGGAGGAATTTCCTTTGAAGATATGAGATCTGCACCATGGGGACAAGCTCCCAGGATACCTCTTCACAGATTTCCTAATGACCTGATGATCTCATTATAAACACATTCATCAGAATTTTAATTTAATTATCTTTCAAAAATGATTAATAAAATAATATAGAATGCATTCTTTGTATTATCAACTTTGCTATCACCCTTAGGTGAAGAAAGGCAGACTCCCTTCTTCTTTTTTAATTTTTTATTTCAATATACTGCAGACTGTAATTCATGCTCAGACTTTATCAGTCATATGAATTGTATATATGATTTTTTTTATGATATTTATTTCCATGCATATTTTTTCTGTTTGTAATAATTTCATAATCTGCAAGGGAGTTGAAATAATAAAAGATCTAATAAGTCACTGATAAACATGTCCCGGCACTAAATTTATAGCTGTCTCCATTTCATTATTTGTTACGTGTCAAGTCAAAAATATTTTTATTAATGTCATATTATCTAATAAAAAAAAGGGGGTTTAAAGAAAGAAAACTTTTTTCACAAATGTTTTAAACCTGCATTCTTATTTCTTTCCTCTTAAAATTTCACCCTTGTTAAAATCATATTTAAAATTTATGACTTTAAATTCCACTTGTTTGCTCGATCATTTCAACATTTAAATGTTCAGCCTACTATTTATTCAATTTCAAAACTAAATGGAATTAAATAAAGAATCTCGAGATATTTCCTTTAACAATCTGCTAAGTATGACAGAAAAAAATAAATATATTACACTTAAATGTAATAGAAACATTTTTTCCCCCACAAAATGTTTCTTTCATGATCAAAAATGAACATTTTATTTTGATAATCAATAAATTCCAAATTAAAATTCAATTATCGTTTTAAGCATTAATTAAATCCAAAATAATGTGATTATGCATGTAATAGATATTTTATCTAGAGATAAAGCGCACACAATGTACACTAAGTACATTAATTCAAATACCAAACTATTACATAATGTGCCTCCTAAACTGCTTTCCATGATGATAAATGTCTATCTCCCTCCCACATTGTATATATTTTAAGACTGGATGAGAATTATTCAAATTATTTTCAAAGTAGTCAAACCTTATATTCAAGATTTACCTCAATCTTGCAAAATATTAAATTCAATTCGATTTCAAGATATTTCTTTAAAAATACCTATTAATCAATTTAAAAAAAATTTGAAAAAAAAAAATTGGAATTAAAATCACAAATTTACAAGTGTTACATACCCATTAAACAAACAAGGTTGATAATCCGAAATTCCTCTGAAATCTTCATGTTTCATTATACCTCAGAACAACATCATCAGCCAGAGTTCCCCACTCAAAAACAAAAAAACCCAAAAGCGAGCAAAAATTAATCTGTTCAATTACAGCAACAAGGAGGAGAATTTTCAACTCTGAAGATCTTGACGCTAATGTAAAGTTGTTTTCTTCCTTGCTCTGTATGTCTTCTTCTAAATAAGTGCACCCTTCTTTCACTTCTTGCAACTCAGGTGAGAATCCAGGTAAGGCATAGAGTAGCTGGGTCATTGATAACAAACTCGTCCCTTTAAGTCAATAGCGGGTAGTTTAAGGCTCAAGGTATAAAAGGAGACACACAGAAAAACACAGAGGGCTATTGTTAGCTAGGCATCAATCTTCATTGTTAACACGCCTAGCCTTGGATCAAAAATCATATTGGCCCGTTTCTTCGTATGGCATTTAATTTAATTGACCAGTGATTTGATTATCCCAATGAACTTTCAATTCTGTCGATAGTTTATATCAAGATAGGTTGATTTTTAAACAGAAGTAAATTTACATTTGAATCCTGTCTGATATAGGGTTTGAATGCTTTTCTGTCACGATAAATAGGGCTATGTAATACTCGATCCTTGATGCTGTAACACAATAGGTAAAATAAAGATTGACAGAATTCAAAAATTTGAATTACGACAGAGCAATGTCATTTATGTTTGCTATTGTTGCAATCTAGAAAAAATCGGCAGAGAGGACAAAACATCCCTTGTCCAAATTTATGAAAGCACATCAAGTATCGATTGTGACTTAGGTGTTAATTATTAAGAACACTCAGACACACTCAATTTATTATAATACTCATTTTACCCCAAATCAAAATTACGATATCTATCTGAGATTGAATTGTCAATAATATTCTTTGGTCCCAGGTTTTGCGTTAAAGCAATGTTATATTAAAGCGGGATTCAAAGCTGCGTCTAATAGAACAACAAAAGTGATAATATTGTCAAGCTCTTAAATCACGCTGTAATGAGTATCAGTCCCGAGGGATCAATGTTGGTAAAGACGCTGCCATCGATGATTGAACAATAGCGAGACTGACGTTGAAACCTATCTCACTTCAGACGATTCGACAGGCGAAAATGAACAGACAAGCAAACCCACATACAAATGCAAGCCTGAGTTCTGCTGTCAATTTGTATAAGAATGCTGAAATTTACATAAATCACAAAACCGTGCAACAAATGAAATAATGATGCAATTTGCTTCCACATGCGCAAAAATTATTTTTGTGTTCGTTGAAGCATGGGGAGGATGAGCAAATTTAGATGATAGATGGTCTTGAGCATTAACTGGGCGATTCAGCACAATGCATCAGGATTGATTGGACATCGGTGTAAATATCTAAAATTGCCATCAGCTGCGTGAAAAGCATTCCAATACTGGAAGAAATTGAGAGTATAGCTTCTTACAGCTTTTGTTACTTGCTATTGTCCTGTTGTTGGAGACTTTTGGTCAATTATATATTGTGAATCATCATAAGAACAAGAAAAATATAACACACTTGTCATGTAAAAAAAAATATTACTATCGATACTTTTCAACATTACAAAGCATTAATTGTAAATGATAAAATCGAAAACAAAATCTAAAATGACAGAAGCATTTTTTGTAGAATAGTGGAACAACCTTAACTAATTTTGAACCATTTATAAAGATAAGCAAAATGCACCAAAAACTGAAATAATTAAAAATATATATATTATAATAGAATCATCTATAACAGTGTCTTAATGTTTGCTAGGAACAGTCATTAGGCTGAATGGTAGGGAATTAAGAAGATGAATTAACCGATTTCTTTTCACATTAATGTAAATGTAATCTGATAAAAGTTTTTCATTTCCATCTATATAAGGAATTTTTTATTTGAAAAAAAAAAAAAAACCCTAAGAGAACACTTGCAAGACAATACATTTTCAAGTGTTTTAACACAAACACAGCTACACAAAAAGAGCAGATAAAATTGCTTCACTTCTACTCCCAGGCAACTCTGAAGATCAGCCTACGCCCTCGATCAATTTCTGGACAAATATTATGACATCTTTATGATATAACAACAGAGGCTTTTTAATTAGGCATTACAAGATTCAGTGTCTACCGCACAGGGAGGTTAGATTTTCTCTATATGGCTTCATTGTCAGAGTGTCATACATAACGCAGACAATTCAATTCCACCTAGATATTGTCTACCCCTGATATTAATGTCAGGTTGATAATGGTATAAATCCCTCTCGCAAAAATTAAAGTGAAAACTCTCGACAAAAGCTACTTAGGTGATTGTACGGGTGATAACATCTTAATGACCTCCAATAATTTAGATATAACAAGATTAAAACTACCGTTCAGGACATCAGGTGTACAGGGAGACTGCTTCATTTAGAGTGCGTGATATGCAATATGTCAAACAAAAAAAAGAGGGAAAAATGAAGAGGAAGGGATGGTTGACTTAAGATACGTATTTTAGTTATGACGAACAATAACAATATGAGAAAGCAGATTTTTTCTGATTTGCTGTCGTCACCCATTGTAAAGGGCGGGGATCATGAAATTAAAATTCAGGAGAAAAGGTGCATGGGATGGGTATATCCGTAAAATGACAATAGGTGACACCGTGACAACAAGCTTGTACTTCAAGCCTTAAAGGGTATCGTTTTCTCAAAGAAATCATTTGGCCTTACTTTGATAAGAGTGAAGGAGAAAAATCGTGAAAGTACACTTTGTAGTGGTAAGAGCAACTCAGCTTGGATCATCTGAAGGTTTTTTCATTTTTCTTCTTTTTATTTCTTGTATGGGGGTCTGGGAAAGGCAAATACACACAAAACGCCTCAAAAAATTTAAAACAGTAGCAATTCAATATGATAGAGTAGGTGTTTACAATACTATTGGCAGGACAATTATAGACACAATAACAGGCTGCTAGAATTTTCATTATCTTTGAATCAAAGCAGCAACACAATGTAATCGCCATAGACTAAAATGCAATTTTAAGCTCTGCCCTGACAGAACCATTGTCACCCCCAAAACAATGCAAACATTCTGTTTCTTCTCCAACAATACGTAGCTCTATCACTCCATCTTCTGAGCTGTTTGTTTCAAAGGTTTAAAACATTAACAGGTACTTGTTCTGTTTGTATTGTTGTAATTAGTAACAGTTCTGACTACTGTGACATCAAAACAATGGCCACTTGAAACAAAAGCACTGAACAGAATTCAGATACACAAGAGCTAGGACTATCGGTTACATACGTGAGAAGATAGAAGTGTTGATTTGGTGAGAAGTACAAGAGGTGAAAACAATAAGACAGCGCCACTTGTTCCGGACCCTCTTGTCTTCCCTACTCTGTTTGCAGCAACGGACAATGTTTTTGTTCAGCGAAGTGACTTTGTATTGAATTTTGAAATGCAGGAAATTTCTAATAGGCAATATCCTGAATAGAATGTAAATAAAAAAGAAATGGAGAGATCAGGGATCTTTTGTTTGGACAATGGGCTTATGCCAGTGTGGGCTTCAGCCCTCTTGGTATAGGCAGCCCCTCTGAGAGCTTTTCAAACACCCTGTGCACACATATCACTAGTTTGATGAATTTTTTCACAAAAGACCACCAATGTTGTTCATAATACAATTTCAAATTCAGCCTTCAGATTCAACTTTTTCTTGATATCAGTTGTCATCAAGAGTTGACATAAGGTGAGGGGATCTTGGAGGAAAGTCATCAGTGTACATGTACTCAACTACACTTGAGAAAAGAACACAGAAGTTGAATTCAATTGATCACTGAACCTATGTAGTTGAAAAAATTACATCCAACTCAAAATGTTGAAACCTTGCATCGACCATATAAAATTGTAGCATGAAGTTTTTAATTTCAATGATGATCATAGTGATTTACATTAGGTCCGTGTGCAACAAGCTTTGTCTGTCAAGTCACCTGCTTGTACTAGGCGTAGAACAAATCTAAAATCTATACTTCATGGGATGCATGTAGATTTACAATGACAAATCACCTCATTCCAACCTCCCCTCCCCCCCCCTCACTTTCCTGTGTGAATTTAAAATTACTTGAATGGGATGTGCTTCTTTATTAGATCAAAGGCTAATGTTCCTTTGGTTTCTAACTTTCCACAGAAAACTTTATGTCAAGTTTGCTTACAACTGGTCTAGAAATTCAGGATAAAATGAAAAACAAGGGACAAACTTGGATTAAAAAAAATATTGTGCCTTGTTAAAATGAATATAAATACAGAATGTTGAGCAGCTGGAAAAACTGTTAATTGGTCAATACCTATAGCTTCATTTTAGTAAACTACTAGCTTACTAAACACAGGGAAAGAAAATAAACTGAATTAAAATTTACATTAGGAGGGCTAAATCAAAGTCATTTTTTAATTTTAAAAATATTAACTAAATGCTTCAAGATTTTAAATGTAAATGAAAATTTATTATTCTTTAACCACATGAATATTTATGAAGAGTGATAATATTTAATGTAAACAGGTAACTTTGTATCTCCAACAACTGCTTGAAATACCCTGATCTATTCTCATAATGATCCTGCATGTTGATAAATATAGATTGTTGTCCAAAAAAAAAATCTGTCATAAAAAATGATCATTACACTTTGTACCAACTATTTCAAAAAAAAAAAATATATATATATTGGTCTAAATGTACATAGAGAACCCAGATACCATATTATACAAATCAAATCATTTTATATCCATCTTTAAATGGGAAAAGAATTGTAAAAGTTCACTCTTACCTCATTTGATTTCTATGAAAGCACTTTTAGCAACAGAATACTGAACAAAAGTATTCTGAATCTATGCTTCATTATTCCTGTATATATATGATGCCATTTTTATGAACTTTTTACCTAACTTTAATACTGCCGATAAGAAAACAGTTGCTGGTTAGATTTGCATCTCTATTTCATTTTAAAACTACAAAGGGGCATTTAGACATAGAGTAGTAATGAAAATCATTATACAAATGTACTTAATTCTGACACAAGAAGAAATTATATAACGGATTTGGGAAATCAAAGAAAAATAATAATGCATTA